CACTGGCTAGGCATGGCAGGGTCACTGGGAAGTTGCAGCCTCAGTTGCCTAACCCAAGAGCAACTTACAAATTTGTATCATATTGAAACAGGTTGTGTTGGGTCCATGTGTTTGCAGGTTCTGGAGCTTTCCCTGGTGTCAAGGGACACAGCAGAGTCCAGTGTCCACATGAGTTTCCATCTTTACAGCCTGTGGATGGGGATCTGACTCCTTGGTGGGTCTGAGTGACCACCAGCCGCTGCCACTTAGCTCAACATGCTGTGAGTGTGTTCCCAGACTACAGTGCTGCTTCCAGGGGCAAAGCTCCGACTGGTGTTCCCCCACATGCCCATTCAGGGACTCCTCTCTCTGTGCAAGGGTGACGGTGTTCTCCACAGCCATGAAATCAGTGTATCCACCATAAGTCTGCCTCTTCTCATGCCAGAACTTCTGTACACGTGGAGAGGATGTGTTCAATGTCCCTGCCTTGGGCCGCGTGGCTGCTGATGACAGTCTTGGCAGGTAATGTGTTTAGCCAGGTGGTCAACTTGGTCACCTTCAGCTCTAGTGTGGGGGTTGGCTTTTTCTCTAATGGGCCATAAATATTTTAGGCTTTCTGGGTTGCCCAACCATGGGACAAGAGTAAAGGCACCCAGTCACCCAGTGGACATGCACCACCTGCAACTCCTGTTCCTGGCGGTCCAAAACACTGCTCATGAAGACTCTGACTCTGACCCTGCCTCCTCCTGGGCTCTCACTATCTCCTCTTGGCTACTTCCTGGTTCATGATCAGGACAAAAGCAGGGGAACGTGAGTCATGTGGATGGTCTGAAAATTCCAGATTTTGTGCTAACCGTAATGCTGTTTTCTTTCCACTAACAGCAACCAGCCAAAAAGGGGCTGGGTGCAAGCTTCATTCTGTGTTAGCACCTGGATTATCTCTGGACTGACATGGTCCTAGGTCAGGGGCTGGCAAACCATTCGTATAGCTCTTAGGCCACACAAAGCCTGGCTGCCTGTTTTGTGTGGCCTAAGGGCTAAGAATGCTTTTTATATTTCTGAATGGTTGGGGAGAAAATAAGAGACTTGTGACATTTGAAAACTATGTTAAAGACCAGGTGCGGTGGCTCATGCTTGTAATCCCAGCATTTTGGGAGGCCAAGGTGTGTGGATCACCTGAGGTCAGGAGTTTGAGACCATCCTGACCAACATAATGAGACCCCCATCTCTACTAAAAATACAAAAATTAGCTGGGCATGGTGGTGGGCACCTGTAATCCCATCTACTTGGGAAGCTGAGGCACGAGAATCACTTGAGCCTGGGAGGTAGAAGTTGCAGTGAGCGATATTGCCATGCCACTGTACTCCAGCCTGGGCGACAGAGCAAAACTCTTGTCTAAAAAAAAAAAAAAAACTATGTTAAAATCAAATTTTACTGTGCACACAGTGTCCTGGGGCTTGGTGATGCCCATGTGTCTTCATAGAACCTCTGGTGACTTTCCTACTGCAGCAGTGTGGACCACACCAGCCAAATCACCTCACACTTGGAAAATAACTTTATGCCCTCCAGCCACTGAAGGGTTATTTTTCCTCTCAGCTCTTGGTGGTTTCTTCACCTAAATGTCACAGTACAACTAAGAATAAGATAGCTGGGTTAGTTCAATAGAAGTAAATCAAAGTCCAACAATCCAGGTTAGACATTAGCCACAGAGGGAGAGGAGGAGTCCTCTTATAGTTGCATGATGTGGAAAAGACACGATATCCATGGGACAGCTTGCTGAGAGCCAAGGGTGTGAACACATGATTTAAATTCAAGCCACGGCACAGCTTTGAGATCTGAGTAACACACGGAAGCATCCAGGTAGCCCCTGGCACACAGGCTGGTGGTTCTTTTGTGGAGAGGAAGAGAGATTGTTCATGGGGTAGTGCAGGTGCTGGAATATCCTGTTACCTGATCACACTGTGCACCACAGTTTGGGCTGCAGTATAGTAAACTCATCTGAAGAGTTTCCAGGCCAGGCACGGTGGCTCATGCCTGTAATCATAGCACTTTGGGAGGCCAGGGAAGGATCACTGGAGCCCAGAAGTTGGAGACTGCAATGAGCTGTGATCGCACCACTGCCCTCCATCTGGGTGACAGATGGAGGCCCTGTCTCCAAAATATATACACAAATAAAAATATTTTGGGTTCCTGTTTTGGAGACAATAAATTAAATAAAATAAATCTACAACCTAGGTCTGGAATTGCTTTTTATCTAGAATAATCTTTGATTTATGACACTGAATTGAAACTATTTGGAGCCTTCTAGAAGCTTCACAAAGTGGAGCAGAGCAAGGGCAAGGCCCAGGCCATTTTATAAATCCCCGTCTCCAGTGCATGCAGCTTGACTCAGAGCCCCAGAAATGTTTGCTGAATGAATGAATGACACATTTGGGGAAGCATCCAGGCTTTGAGCTCAGGACAGTGCTACAGAAGAGAGGGAAATCCACCAGCAAAAAGTTTCCACAGAGAACTAAGTCCAACAAAACCAAAGGAGTAATTTCCCAGATGCAGACATCTGTTCTCTGTGCAAGGCCTTGTACAGGCCACGGGGACAAAGATGGACAGAGCCAGCCCCTGCCCTGGAGTCCAGTTCTAATGGACACTGACCACTGGCAACGATGGACAGGTGCCTGTACTGGAGGGGTCCAGTGGGCTCATGGGGTTGGCCCCAACCATGCCTGGCCTAAGAATGGTTTTTAAATGGAAAAAAAATTCTTTGTGACACATGAAATTAAAATTTCATTGCTGGGTGCAGTGGCTCACTGCTGTAATACCAGCACTTTGGGAGGCTGAGGTGGGTAGACCCAGAGCCCAGGAGTTCAAGACCAGCCTGGGCAACATGGCGAAACCTCATCTCTACAAAAAATATAAAAATTAGCCAGGTGTGGTGTGGTGCACCTGTGAGCTCAGGTTGAGACTACCGTGAGCCATGATCATGCCACTGCACTCCAGACTGGATGACGGGGAGACCCTGTCTCAAAGGGAAAATTTCAATATCCATGAAAAAATGTTATTGGAGGCTGGGCTCGGTGGCTCATGCCTGTAATCCCAGCAGTTTGGGAGGCCGAGGCGGGCAGATCACCTGAGATCAGGAGTTTGTGACCAGCCTGGCCAACATGATGAAACCCCGTCTCTACTAAAAATACAAAAATTAGCCAGGCATGGTGGTGCGTGCCTATAATCCCAGCTGCTTGGGAGGCTGAGGCAGGAGAATTGCTTGAACCTGGAAGACAGAGTTGCAGTGAGTCAAGAGAGTGCCATTGCACTCCAGCCTGGGCAACAAGAGCCAAACTCTGCCTCAAGAAAAAAAAATCCACTCATAAACTGGAGTAAAAAACAAAAAAAGACAAAGTAATTGGAACAGAGTCATGCCCATTTGTTTACATATTGTGTGACTGCTTTCAATCCACCATGGCAAGGTTGACAGAAACTTTATGGCCCACAAAATCTAAAATGTCTACTCTCTGGCCCTTTGTGGGAAGAGCTGGCTGACTACTGAGTCACAGTGTGAGAAGGGCCACCCAGCTGGCCTCTAAGTCTGCTCCACACTGTAGGGATCTCAAGTCCAACTGGATCATGTCTGCCCTGATTAAAACCCACTGTTCCGTCTTGCTCCAATGGAATGACCAAAATCCTGTGTGTGGCCTTGAGGCCAGTTGCTGTCCCTGCACTTGCCCCCCACTGTCCCTCATTCCCCTTGCACTTGGGCAGTGCCAGCTCTAGTCCTGGGAATGGCCCACTCCCCTGCCGTGTCTCACAAGCTATGTGTCTTTTCATGGCTGTGTCTTGATTTGCCTGGTACTGCCTTGAGACAAGCCCAAGGGTTCACAAATGAATCGAGGCAAACAAATTCCCAATGATAGCCAGGAAGAGCTCAGCCTGAGGACCAAGGGCAGGTCTGTGCTCTGGGCTCCACACAGGCTTTGCTAAGCAGCTGGAAGAAGCAGAAAGATGGGGCTGTCCCTAAAGCTGCTGTCCTTGCAGGGCTGGGGCCGGTGAGTGAGAAAGGCAACATGGTCCCAGCTGCCACAGCCCAGCCACAGTCACATCTGGGGATGGAGAATGCAGGAAGTGGTTGGTCATATACCTGACCAGATGACAGTGGTAGGGACAGTGCCTTCAGGGAGAGGGAGGAGGGTTGTACCTGGAACTCACTGAGGGTGGGACAAAGCCAAGTGAATGACCAGATGGCAGCACTCACAAGCATGTGCCTTAGAGGGCACCTGGGCCCCTCCCAGAATCTACTCATCCTGCCCCCAGGTATTCCTCTGCACCCCAATATGTTAGAACTGCCCATGGAGGGATGAGGAAGAAGTGTCAGGCTAGTGGAGGAGATAAACCAAAAACTGCAGACAAGACAAAGCCAAGCAACCCCAGGCACTCAAAGACAAGGGCAGGTTTCCCAGCAGAGAACAGACCAGACGTGGTCCAGAAGCACTCCATGGAGGCTGGGGCAGCCAGTTGGAACCCAGTTGACAGAAAATGCCTCTGCAGAGACAGAGCCCCAAGGTCCCTTCTAGAATGTAGTTATGCTGCAAGCTGCAAAGCTGGCTACAGCCCCTGCATACACCCTAGCGACAGCCTCTCTGCTGGGCTCTAGCCTCCTCCCTTGCGCCCCTCCACACAACAGCCAATCACCAGATCATGCCTCTCCTCTGCTGAAAACTCTCAAAAGGGCTCCTCTTTCACTCAGAATTGAGCCAAAGTCCTTACTAGACCCTCAGGCCCTGACCTTGTTGCCTTCCCCAATGTCAGCTCCCTCCAGTGATCTCCTACTTGGATGCAGCGCCACACTGGCCACCTGTGCACTGTCCCCCCCACCTGTGCACTGTCCTCCCCACCTGTGCCGCCCCCTCAGAGCTCTGTGCTCCCTGGCTCCTTCAAGTCCTTGCTAAGATTCACACTGTCAAGGAAGATCACCCCATCATCACGCAGACCCCACACTACTTGTTGCATCACACATCATCCTCTAACGAGCCGTTAATTTTTATTGTTTATTTTTATAATGTTTCCCCTCCCTTCAGCCCCATTAGAACGTCAGCTCTGTGAGGTCAGGGATTTAAGGCAGAAGAATAAAAGTGCCCAACCTAAAATACAAAATCTACAAAAGTACCCGGCTACATGGGGCCAGGCTGAGCAATTGTATGGTGTCTATGAAGGGCCTCAACCTGGCCACACATGGCCACACCGAGCAGCAAAAACAAATATACAGGGAAGAGGAGGGTGTGAGGTTTAACACCCACCTAGAGAAACATGTTGTTTATAGCCATTTTACTTCCAAAAAAGAAAAAAAGGCATAGCTCTCTTTTTCATTTAAACAGAAAATTACATAATCACATTTAAACTGACACTGAAGAGCCTGCCTCATGGGAAGGGCAGGGCTGTCCTGGAAAGAGTCAGCTGCACTTGGGCACCATCTGAGGTGCATGTCCAAGCCTGACCTGAATGGGACCAGTCAAATGAGGGCTCAGTCCTGCAGTCTGCGCTCACACCTCTTCTCCAGATCTGCCATCTCCTTTAGGACCAGGGCCACGCTGTACCGCAGCTCCTGAAACTTGGCTGTGGTGACCTCGAAGTGGTATGCTGACCCATCTGACAGCTTCAGCTGCATCAGGACGCTCGGCTGCAGGGAGCGAGCCAGGGCACTGGTGGAGATTGCCACATCCACCCGCCACCGAAAGTCAGCAACATGGGGCAACCAGGCCCCCTGCTGTTGGGCCACAGAATCAAGGAGGGGCCGCTGGCTCCCAAATACCACGCTGGCCAAGTCCCCAACCAGGTCTTGGGGGATGCAGAGCTCCTGGAGCTGGTCCCTGAAGGTATCGGGCTTCAGGCTGGTAGGGGGCAGACGGAGGGCTTGCTGGAGCAGCGTGTGCATGCCTGCCAGCAGGACACCCAGCCGCTCCTCCGGCAGGTCGGCGCTAACCCCAACACGCTGTACAGCCTCTCGGCAGTCCTCCCCCTGCAGGCTGCTGACCACAAGCTTCAGCAACTTTCTGAACGTGCTCCTGTCTAGGTCCCCTAGTAGCCGGGTCATGGCTGTCACCTCTGGAGGAAGCTGGGCCCCCAAGAAACTCACTCGGCCACTGTGACTATCACCAGGATGATGCAGGTAAGGAGCTGCAGCCCCCACAGCAGACATTGCTGCTGCTTCCTTCTTGATCAGCCAGCCCAGGAGGTCGGTCACAGATGCAGATGCCTAGAGTGGGGGCGGAGGGGAAAAGACCAGTGACTCCCATGTCCTTTGGGCCAGTGGGTGAGGGTTGATATGGTCCCCATCGTCAGGATGCTGACAGTGTGAACTAATGACAGTCAGTGCTAGGGAGGTGGCCCTGGCAAGACGTGGCAAAGGGGCCCATGTCAGTCCCAGGAGGAGCGGAGGCCTCCCAGAGGAAGTGATATCTAAGACATGAAGGGCAAGCAGGAATTGGCAGAGAAATGGGGGGCACAAGTTCTCCAAGTAAGTAAACACATGAAAGAATGAACTAGGACAAAGGTCAGGGGAACACAGGGACATGACAACTGACACCACAGACCGCACTGAGATCATCTAACTCTTCCACCTTGAATTCTCACAATAGCGGGCAAGAATTACCATTCTCATTCTACGGATAGTGAGATAAGTCTCTAGACCAGGCACAGTGGCTCAAGCCTGAAATCTCAGCACTTTGTGAGGCGGAGGTCAGCGGATTGCTTGAGCCCAGGAGTTGGAGACCAACCTAGGCATCATAGCAAGACCCCATTTTTACAAAAAGTTTAAAAACTAGCCAGGCATGGTGGTACACGTCTGTGGTCCCAGCTACTTGGAAGGCTGAGGACAAAGGATCCCTTGAGCTTAGGAGGTCGTGGCTGCAGTGAGCAGAAATCGAGCCACTGCACTCCAGCCTGGGCAAGAGAGCAAGATGCTGTGTCGAAAGGACGGAAAAAGAAGAAAGGAAAAAGAAATCAAAGGAAAAAGAACGAAAAGAAATCAAAGCTCTAAACACAACTGCCAAAGTCAAGTACTAGAGCCTAGACCTGTTATTCAAAAGTCCACCACAGCCCCCAACCCCCAGAATGGAGGAGCTGAGCAACGGGTGGCAACGGAGCCAAATGTGGCATCTAAAGAGGGTTCCGACAGCACCTAAAGGGACAGCGCAGCAGCACAAGCACCTGCGATGATGGAGGAAACGCACCTGCCCAGCTCAGCACACCAGGGGCTGGAGCAGAGCTCAGCCGGGCACAGCTCCCGTTCTCAAGGCACTTGCCAGGCCACTGCACAGCGCTGGGGGAGCCCAGGTAGCTCCCCACGGGCTTCAAGGCGCCCCGTTCTCCCTGGCGGTCCACGGTCACCCACAGCCACCTTTACCGCCCCGCCAGCACCTGGCGCTCCTTCCCACTCCAAAGGGCCGTCGGAGAAGGCCTCCGAGCTGCCCCTTCCGGTCACGCGGCTGGGCAGGCCGGGTTCGCACCCTGATCTCCGTACCCGCGGCGCTGATGTGGGCGCGGCGTCGCCCGTTCCGGGGCGCGGGGGCGCGGGGGCCTTGGTGCACAGTCCAGCTTGGCGCTCGGCCCCCGCCGCCCCCATGGTTCGGGGCCAACCTATTCGCGGGCGCTCCTCCGCGGAAAAGCCCCCAGTATCGAGAGCTCTCAGGACAGAGCGGCGAAGCAGCCTTTCCCAGGCCCCCACCCCTAGCCCGGGAGGGAGACTCCACCCGACCCCACCCCACGCCCCGCGGCCCGAGTAGCCCCCCGCACCTGGCGCCAGCGATGCCCAGCTGTTGCAGCCAAAAGAGGGCCTCGTTCCCGGAAGCGCTCCTAGAGACACTTCCGGGCCGCTCTAGGAAAGCTGCAAAGGCCGCCCCTCTGTGGTCCACTGGCCCGAGGGGCGGAGCCGAGGCCGTGCCAGGCCCGGAGAGTCGGGGGTCGTGGTCGGGGTCCTGGGCCAAGTCCTAGGCGGTTTTTTTTCCCTAGAGAAAAAGGAGACAGAAGGCGGTGTTTTGTTTCCGTTTCTGAGGTAGAAACTGCAGCCTGGGCCGGCGTCTCTTTCCTGCCCGTGCAGAGGAGGGTAAAGCGGGAAACGCGTCCAGTGGTCGGGATCACAGCTCCAGCGACCTCAGGCTGTGGAGCTCGCTGGCTTTCTTGGGCGTCCGGGTGGGCGGCGGGGGAACGGGCGGGACTTTCCCAGTCCCGCGTGGACGGTCTGCGCCTCCGGAGTTTTGAGAGCTGCCCGTGTCCCTTCCGGTCGGTGGCACAGCGCGGGTGACTCCGTTCCGCTTTGGGCTGCTCTGTTGGCCCCTAGTGCAGGAGCTCGGCCCGAAAAAAGGGCCTCCCATACATTTTATTTAACATGTGTTTTACCACAGTTAAAAATAATATGCCAAAATCATTGAATAGTACAAAATGGGTGAATTATATGGTATGTGAATTATAGCTCAGTAAGCTGTTTTTAAAAAAAAAGACTGAGAAGAGAACCTCATTAAATGGGCAGAAGATTTCAAAAGACATCAAGGAAGATACAAAGTGAGCAACGGGTAATTAAGTATTCAGCATCATTGGCTGTTAGAGAAATGCGAATTGAAACCACATTTCATACCATTAGAAGGGTTGTAATAAAAATGACATGGCGCGGTGGCACACGCCTGTAGTCCCAGCACTTTAGGAGGCCCAGGAGGGCAGATAACCTGAGGTCAAAAGATTGAGACCAGCCTGACCAACATGGAGAAATCCCGTCTCTACTAAAAATACAAAATTAGCCGGGCATGGTGGCGCATGCCTGTAATCCCAGCTACTCAGGAGGCTAAGGCAGGAGAATTGCTTGAACCCAGGAGGCAGAGGTTGCAGTGAGCTGAGATTGTGCCATTGCACGCTAGCATGGCCAACAAAAGCGAAACTCCATGAGCCTCCGTGTCCGGCCAGGAATCGGTATAAATGTTAACCCTCTTTCCCTTTGTTAGGGTGAGGGCCCTGGTTAGGGCAACTAGTTCTACCTGTTGAGAGGTAGTACAGGGTGGGAGAGCATTGGATTCTAGGCGTTTGTTTTGGCAACGATGAGGTAGCCAGATGCTGGACATGGCTCCTTTAAAGAT